AACACCTATTGTGTTTTATTAGGAGATGCACAACAGTTCTTCTGTTGCTTTATAGGTAATATTTTCACGTACGCAATTTAGCAAAATCAGACAATATTGTGTCTAATATATACCACAATATTAATTTCTTATTATTGAATTGTTGTAAATAAATATCACATTTGGAAATGGTCAGTGTTCAAAAAATGCTGGGAAATCACTTCATGTAGCCCTACAAGAGTGATTACTGATAAACTGTCTGAAAAAAAGACTTCGAGGAGAATGTAGTAATAGTGAAAAGTACCATATTTGTCTTTCAAATGTAGTGAAGTTAAAGTCATAAATTCCCAGAAAAAATAATACTTAAGTACAGATACTCAAAAAGTGTACTTAAGTACAATACTCAAGTAAATGTACTTAGTTACTGTCCGCCTCTGCTTCTATGGCAAACGGAAGCCCTAAGGACAAAACTAAATAAATAAAAGATAACACATTAAGGAGGCATTTACATAAAACGTGCTTTTGTGTTTATTTGACAGTAGAATTAACTATATATATATAATTTTATTTTTATTTTATTTTTTGGAACAGTGTCATCGAGACGCTGCAAAAGAATCAAGCACAACGGTCAAAGATGTCCATTTAGTGCATGTTTACAATGGGGAAAAAAGCACAATGGATAGCAAAAAAGAATTCTGTCTGAACCTAATTGTGAAAATGTACTAATTGTTATCTTTAACACTCTAAAGCCCTGTTCACACCAAGAACGATAACTATAACGATAACGATATTAGTGTCCACACCAGCAAACGGATCGTGTTTATTCCAAGCGCACGTGCGTCTGCCGCTTTAAATTCTCGAGCTCGTCACAGCAGGATGGATTCTGATTGGCTGTCAATGTTTGTATCGTTCATCAGCTGGAAAAATCGTCTGGAAGTGATTCCAACGATATCGTTTCTCTGTGCCTTTGTCGTTATAGCTGTGGTGTGGACTCTGCTATTCTTTAACATTGAGAACTATTTTTAGCACTATATCTTTATCGTTATCTTTATCGTGCTTGGTGTAAACGGGCCTTAAGATATGCACT